CAGGAATGACGTTATAGGACTTTTAAGATTACTCTATTAGGGTGAATTGGGGAAGGTGATTAGTGATGGGAAGACCACTTAAGCAGCTTTGTCAGTAATTCCAGTAAGTGATTAGGTATCCAACTAAGTGTCACTGAGCTTGGAAAGGAAAGTTAAGTTTCAGAGTTAAGGAGGTAGAGTCTAGTCTACAGTTACTGGGTTCTCAGGAAAGTCTTGGCACATTTTTGCATACAAAAACCTATAAAAAATACAGCATGACTTTTACAGTAGTATCAGGAGTAGAAGTGGGAGAGATTGAGAATGAGTACCTAAATTTCTACCTTGGGTAACTGGATTGAGGGTTCCATTGGCAAAGAGAATAAGGAACAGACTTTTGGGAAAAATAACAAATTCAGTTTGGGATGTACTAGGTTAAAGAGTACCTATCTATTGACTTTGAGAATGAAATGTCCAGTAGGCAGTTGAAAATAGAAACTTAGGAGAGAGGTTTAGGCTCAAGATGAAGCTTGAGAATCATCATGGAGGTTATCTGAGACCAAGGACAAGGAGAAAGACATTCTAGGAGACTGTATATTGTATAGTGAGCCAAAAGACTAAGATGGCCTATGAGAAATAACATTTATGAGGTCATGAAGGAAGAAAAGAAACCTATTTATGTACTAGTTGTAGGTAACTTTTACCTTTAATAATTATTTTGTCACTCAGTTTGGCTACATATTTTCAAGGTAGCTCTAGACCTTTGCTTTTGGCTTTGGGAATGAGTGGCTTTGTTAGTTTTCCCAATAAAATTGTTGTACTGAGGAGAGTGGAATTTTAAGAATGGCTTAAATAAGAATATCTACTTTTTTGCTTCTGCAGTTTTTTCGTTCGAATTTAGTAAGCTTTTCAACTTATTTTTATTGATAACACTTCAGATAATCTGTTCAGTGTTTTTCATACTGCAGGTTAATTAATGAGTCCAGGGGCCAGCAGGTTATGTGGTGATTAAGATTCTAGATTCCCACATGCCAACCGTGGTTTGAGTCCCAGACCCAGCAGCTTGAAAAATCACACCAGATGCATGTGCATGTGTGCTCAAAATCTGGAGTAGAGAATGGAGAAGGGATTGTAGTGTGGCCATCCCTCCTTGTGGCGGGGTGCTTTCTCACTTTTCCTTTCTCTTGTCTCTCTCTAACAAGTGCACATACCCTATGGCAAAAACCTTAAAAAATAATTAATGAGTCCATGAATAGAATAGGTAATTAAGTCAGTTCACTGAGAGAGAACCAACTTTTTTTTTCTTTTAAATAGTGGGAAAAAACAGTGAAGTACATACTGTGTAGAAAGGGATGTTTTGATGAACCATGATTAAATGGATGTATTGACTTATGAAATTTTTATTTCAGTATTACATGGACGTATCATAGATTATGATATGTGATATGTTTTTTTTTGTATTGAAAAGCTTATAGTGGGAACCAGCAGTTAGCGTAATGGCTATGTCGCTGGACTCCCACGTAGTCGACCGTGGTTCGCGTCCCAGACCCAGTGGCTTAAAACTCACGCCGGGCGCGTGTGCGTGCGTGCCCAAGATCCCGAGAAGAGAATGGAGGAGAAGGGATTGCGGCGTGACCATCCCCCTGGGGGGTGATTTCTCGCTTTCTGTCTCTATGTCTCTGTCTGTCTGGCGAGCTCACGTGCCCTATAGCGAAAATCTCTCAAAAAAAAAGAAAAAAGAAAAGCTTATAGTAAAAAAGTTTGAGAGCCACTTACACTATTTTGTAGGATCAAAATTTCAAATCTCACAAATTATTGAGGCAGTTAACATTGAGCAATGTAAAATAACTTGAGAGAAATAAAGAGTTTACAACTACTCTTATTGCAGAAAAGCTTCTAGTTAAAACATAATTTAAATACCCTTCCAGTACCTGGATATGTAAATTGAATGTCATAATGCACTATCTGTTCTATTAGATGGTGAAGCAAAGCCTTTACAGATGCTCATTGGAAAACTTCAAAAGGCAGTGTCTGAAGAATGTTCTCATTTTTCACAGGTAATATATTAGTTCAAAAGTACTAGTAGACAAGGAATGCTGTACTGATTTGATGAGAATTATCCAACTTAGTTTCATCCAGTATCTCACTTCAGATATGCACTTAGAAAGTATTCCTGAGTTTCTAAGTTTAAAATAAGCATTTAAAATTTTCTTGGTATTCAGTATGAAACAAAAGAGATTCATAGAAATTTTCTCACTAGTAGCACAGACCCTAAGATCGATGTTGCCGTATGGACCAGTTACTTAATTTTTCTGGGAGTGGCTTAAAACTCACGCCGGGCGCGTGTGCGTGCGTGCCCAAGATCCCGAGAAGAGAATGGAGGAGAAGGGATTGCGGCGTGACCATCCCCCTGGGGGGTGATTTCTCGCTTTCTGTCTCTATGTCTCTCTCTGTCTGTCTGGCGAGCTCACGTGCCCTATAGCGAAAATCTCTCAAAAAAAAAGAAAAAAGAAAAGCTTATAGTAAAAAAGTTTGAGAGCCACTTACACTATTTTGTAGGATCAAAATTTCAAATCTCACAAATTATTGAGGCAGTTAACATTGAGCAATGTAAAATAACTTGAGAGAAATAAAGAGTTTACAACTACTCTTATTGCAGAAAAGCTTCTAGTTAAAACATAATTTAAATACCCTTCCAGTACCTGGATATGTAAATTGAATGTCATAATGCACTATCTGTTCTATTAGATGGTGAAGCAAAGCCTTTACAGATGCTCATTGGAAAACTTCAAAAGGCAGTGTCTGAAGAATGTTCTCATTTTTCACAGGTAATATATTAGTTCAAAAGTACTAGTAGACAAGGAATGCTGTACTGATTTGATGAGAATTATCCAACTTAGTTTCATCCAGTATCTCACTTCAGATATGCACTTAGAAAGTATTCCTGAGTTTCTAAGTTTAAAATAAGCATTTAAAATTTTCTTGGTATTCAGTATGAAACAAAAGAGATTCATAGAAATTTTCTCACTAGTAGCACAGACCCTAAGATCGATGTTGCCGTATGGACCAGTTACTTAATTTTTCTGGGTCCTGGTGTCTTCATCTGTAAATTGGATGATGTATTAAGTTTTCTAATGCCAGCTTGAACATGCTAATATGCCATTTTAAGGACTGTGCTGAAAATGTAATGAACTCAGTTATCAATTGACAATCTATCAATAGTTGAATTTTTAAACCTCAAGAAATAGTGGCAAAAAGTAGTTTGATTTTTAGGTTTAGAAGTTGTTGATAGTTATTTCAGTTGTGTGAGAGGCAAAGACAAAACTTACTTCAATGCTTATCAGATGATTATGGGGTATGTGTTGTTTTAAATGATAGAATTTAAATGATTGCTTAGGAAAGCAATCAGAACAATGTGACTACTAGTTTTAATTTTTTTTGTGTTTATAAACTACAGAATATTCCTCTCAAATGTTACGGAAATGTCTATGAATATAATCTGCTTGATATAATTTCCGTAGAATTTGTAGTCTTCTTTGTTATCATTATTTCTGAACTTCCATTTTTGTCCTGTGGTGTTTTCTTCAAAGTAGTTGACACTGCAGATTTAACATCAGAGTAGTATCAGAGCTAGAAGTGATGGATTAATACAAGATATGTTTTATTGTTAGAAGAAAACAAAATATAGTTTGTGTGATGAAGACTATCGGTATTTTCTTGATGTAAGAAAAATTTCATATTTTTTAGTTATTTTACTTGTAAGTAGAGAATATGAGTGCACCAGGCTGTGAGAGAAAGACCTGATTACTTCTTTTGCAAATTGATTTGGTGTATGAAAGAATGTTTTCTTGCTGATTTTCCTGTGCCACTTTGATTGTTGCAGCTAGAGAATAATGTTGGTGATTTTTAGAGATAGAAATCAAAATTTTAATTACTTAAAAATACCTAATTTTATTGTTAACAGACTTTATGCAGTGCCATTGGTGAATATTATACTCCTGCTTTAAAATGTGGAGTAGATGTAAACGAGAGAGAGAATACTGGTGTTTGTGCTTTTGAGAATCAGAAACGAGAATTACAAGACTATAGATATGAAGTTCAAGGTAATAGAAACCACACTATTAAACAGTGTTTAATTTTCTTAAATCAGTTGATAAACTTTTACCATTGATCATGGTTTAATCATCTGATCAAGTTGAAATTTATTATCTTAGTCCTCTTTTCAGATCCATAAAATATTTCGTTGCATTTATATTTTTTATTTTTTAGCACAATGATTGTCATATGAAGGAAGATATTTGAAGCTGTACACATTTCCTGTCTTTTTTCCCTCTATTTTCTACTCCCATCTTCCTCATTCTAATTCTTTCCTCTAACTTTTTATTCCACAGCTCTAAATCTTTAAAAGTTATTATGTTTATTGAATACATTTATGTGAATGGTTTACTGTTTTAAAAATGAATAAGAAGAAATTACTAAGTAACATTTTGCTTGATATAAATTCAGTATTAGTATATTTCAACAAAAAGCACACTCGGTTAATATTTCGGTATTTCTTCACAGATAAAATGTGTTGTAGTCCTGTTCATTTGTATAGGTAATGGCAAAATGGGAACAAATTCGTTAATACCAACCAGATCAAATTAGAATATGTTAGTATGAAATTTTTACATTATCTTTGTAGCAGGTGTTTTACATTAATGAGTTTTCAAACTTTTTTTTTTAAGTAATTAATTTTCAGTAAGCTCTAGGGCACGTGTACACTGGAGAGAAACATAAAGAGGGAAAGTGAGAAATCGCTCCCTAGAGAAATGGCTACTCTGCAGTCTCTTCTCCATTCTCCTCTCAGGATTTTGGGCACACATGCACATGTGCTCAGAGTGATTTTCAAGCTGTGAGGTTTAGGACTCAGACTGCACAGTCAGCCATGAGGGATCCAGTCGCCTCAACCTCCATGCCACCTGATGGCCCCATTAATGAGGTTTTAAATTTTATTACTTAATGCATGAGTTTTACTTCAAGCAGGCAATTTCCTAAAGTTATAAATAGGCAAATAATATTCTGAATAATATCTGAAATAATGTCTGAAAATGCAGGCTTTTACTATATAGTGAAATTATAATCATTGTTTGTTTATCATCTAGACTTTCAAGAAAACATGCAAACTCTTCTTAACAAAGTAACAGAAGAATACAACAAACTCGTGGTACTTCAGACACGATTAAGCAAGGTCTGTGAAGTGGAAAATGTATTACAGTGTTTGCATTTATTATATTATCGGATGTTTTATAAAATGCTTGATGAACCAAGAAAAAAATAAGTAAACATGGAAAAGATTAGGAAAAGTAACATATTATAGTAGATAATTTGTATGTATCAGTCAAATGAAGAAATTTCTACAAGTTAAATTATATTTAACCTGTTTGTAGAGTTTTTGAAATCATGATAAAGTAAAAAATGTATGTGTGCAATTGTAAACTATATAAAAGAGTTGCATTTGATTTTACCTATAACAATTTTTTTTTTTTTTTTTTTTTTTTACGTTTTGGGGTTCTTTTTATTCCACAGTGGGAGTCAAAGGTATTAGTGTTTATTTCTATGGACAAATAGCATCAGATGACCTGGGTCTTCATCCTGGCTTCACTACCTCTTGTATAAATCTGAGCAATCCTTTCATTTCTGCATGCCTTAGTTTTCCTCATCTATGACATGGGGATAATAAAGTCCACCTGGAAGGATTGCTGCAAAGTTAAATGAGCAGATACATGTGGAGTTCTTAGAAGAACACTGTGCACACTTGACAGTACCATTGCTCTCCCATTCTTGCGTTTAACTTTTTTTTTTTT